GTTTGGATGTTAGCAGTTTTCTGATAGAGTGGATTTTCGGCCTTTTGTCTTTCAATGATTTCAAATAGTTGAAGCGCTTTTGGGCCTTTTGTCTGACAGACTGGATGTTACTTGCTTTGTACCTCTTTTATTTGAACTTTCTAATTGTGCATTTTAGTTTGAAGCCATATATGACTAATAGTGAGGATTCATTTTCATCAGGTCTTGAATGCTATTCTAGATCATCGTGTTGAGGTTTTTATTCAAGAGTTTGGACGTTTTAAAAGAGTAATTGGGAGGTTGAACGGGATGATATATGAGAAGAAACAAGAGTTGCAACTGTTGTCACTCTTTATCCCATCTGAATCCAAACTCTGAAGGGCAATTCAAGAGTACACAAGGCAATTCAGGAATACGCCCCAGAACTGTTGTAATTTTCACAGTAATACTGTTTTTTCATATGTATAGAAGGGATAAAATGAAAGTTGCAATTTCTGTTTTTTCAATTTTTATGTAATTTCTATTAATTTTATGCATTTTTGTGTGTTTTTGTTTAATTTCTATTTTATCCTATAATTTCTATTATTTTTATGTAATTTTCATTATTTTATCTAAATGGGTTGAGTTGGGTTAAGATGGGTTTGGATTGAACCTAACCCATTTAATTCAATCTAATCGGGTCATTAATGGATTAGCGGATTAGATGAATTGGATTGAAACTCAATCCAAACCAAACCCAACCCAAACCATCCAATTACCACCTCTAACGCACGCTTGTGATGATAAAACCACCGGTTTCCGTTACTGTAATCTTCATCGTCTCCTACTCCTAAGCGGCTCCACATCTACCTCTCCTAAGCCACCACGTCACACACACGAACTACATCTCCGAAGCCTCCCTTACGTGTGCGATGAAGTAGATGGAGAGGTTAGGCCTTCCATCATTGAAAACTCTGGCTAATAAGGAGGCCAATAGTACTACTACTCCTATAATTGCCTTCATTTGGTTTGTGGTGAACCAAAGCCATGATTTGAACTATATAGCCTTTGTTTGAGGATTGGAGAGCTTATGTACGCTGCTTTTCTCTCAGTACTATAGCGTTAGCGTTAGTGATGATTACCATTTGAACTTTCATTTACGATAATGACTTTGTGACAAATACCGAGGTTTTTAAAATCGATCCAGACAACTAATCGGTCAGGGGTTTGGTTCTTGGGTTGAATGATTAGATTGTTCAAATCGAACGGATGGCTCATTYTGATAAAAAATAAATAAATAAATAAAAACCGGCCAAACTATCGAATGGTTTGAACGGTCCGATCACCCGGGTCAGCGGTTTGCTGACCAAACCAATGGTTTTGGGGGAAATAATGGTTCTAGGGTAAAATGAAACCGATCACCTTATTGGTTCCTAGTTTTTTCAGTCTGATCGTTCAATTCAGTCCGGTTTTGAAAACCATGACAAATACCCTTCGCCATTAAGAGGATATTCGGTATTGAGGCCCAAAAAAAACATGTACTTTTCAGGCCATTGGCCCCCAACGTAATTAGTTTGAAATGGTGTGTTTTGGGACACGCTATGCCACACTAAGCATTTTTGTATTGTGGTTGTGTGGTTTGTTCCAAATCATTGTTTCATGAGTGTTTCATGGTGTGGTGGGTTTTGGAACATGCGATTTAGGTGGTGTTCGGTTTCATGGAACATCCACGATATATTGAGTTTTGGTCTGCACCATGATTGCTTAGGGTGTTTGGTTGGTTCATGGTATGGACTAATCCACATTATCTCGTGGATTGGTCCACACCACGGGCCAATTTATTGTCTATGGGTTTATCTCGTGGATTAAACCATGCTACGTTGTTGTATGGGATGAGGAGTTATCCCATACTTCGCATATAATATTTACTGTTGCATATATCATGCTAATTGAGTTTGCATGAAAAAGTCAAGGTTTTTAAAACTGGCCCGGAGAATGAACCAGTCAGGAGTCCACTTCCCAGGTCGAATGGTTCGACCGTTCAAAACGAACGATCAGCCCGTTCTGACATAAAAAATAAAAATAATAAAAAACGGTCAAAACCATTGAACGATTCAAACAGTTCAACCGCCCGGGTCAGCGGTTTGCTGACCAAACACAAGATGTGGACAAAAATGTGCCACACCTTGCAGAATGCCCATTAAAGTGTGGTATGGATCAACACACACATTTTTGTCCATAGTGCTGAACAACTATCTTGTTGGGTGTGGTGTGTTTTCATCCACACCACAAGTATGGTGTGAATGAAAAGACACCACCCAATTTCTCATTTACATTACACAACACTCCCTTAGTGTGGTGAAAATATTGTGATATATTTGATTCTAGAACACACCATGGCTTAGCCTAGAATGCACCATAGCATAAAAGAACACCATTCTCTTTGGTGCATTCTGGAACCAAGCAAAATGAGCCACAACCATGCTATAGAACACTCATGAGTTAGAAGATAGAATGCATTAAATTACCAAAATACCTATATGAACTTTCTTTATTTTCTTTTCCTAGCCCTTCTCTTAAACCCTAATTGACACAAAAAATACCTCCATTTTCTCCATATGAAACCAACTAAAATAACAAGAATCATTTCATTGACATAGAAAAATAAGTTTATTTAAATTCTTGTTTCATTTCAAAGACATGGATGTCTCTCTTCATCTTAAAATATAAAAATTGTCCACTCTTTCCAATAAACCAAGAAAAACCAAACGTGACCTTAAATTTATATCTATTAGAAAGAAATTTCTACCATTTTCATTGAGTATTGAATCCAACTAGAAATTGCAAAGTGAAAGTTTAAGGGGTAATTGTCATTGACCCCATAGTATATGGGGTCTTTATAATTTACCCTTTCTTGGCTTAGATACAAGAGAGAGAGAGAGAGAGACTTCAACATTGTTTTTCTTTTTGGATAAATTACAAAGGCCCCCTAGTACTATGGGGTCTTTATAATTTACCCTTTCTTGGCTTAGATACAAGAGAGAGAGAGAGAGAGAGAGACTTCAACATTGTTTTTCTTTTTGGATAAATTACAAAGGCCCCCTAGTACTATGGGGTCTTTATAATTTACCCTTTCTTGGCTTAGATACAAGAGAGAGAGAGAGAGAGAGAGACTTCAACATTGTTTTTCTTTTTGGATAAATTACAAAGGCCCCCTATACTATGGGGTTAGTGACAATTATCCCCTAAACTTTCATTTGCAACCAGGCCTCCTAACCTTTACTTTGTGACAAATACCCCCTATGTTAGAGTTCTGTCAGTTAACTTAAAAAAGTTTCTCATTTAAGTGTTTAAATATTTTTAAATTCCCTAACTACATTTTTTTCTTATTTATTTGAACAATTTATGATTAAGTTAGTTTTCTAACTTGATTATTGTAATAGATCTTTGTAGATTTCTAGCTGAATTCCATATTCAGATGAAAATGGTAGATGCTTCTTTTTGATAGATCAAAATTTAAGGTTTCATAAAGATTCTATCTCATGAATTTCTATTTTTATTTTTTTTATCTCTTAAATTGAAGTCCTCTCAATTGTTCTAATAAATCATCACAAATTTTTGGATTCAATATTCACATAAAATGGTAGAGGTTTCTTTTTGATAGATATAAATTTAAGGTTTCTTTTTAATAGATATAAATTTAAGGTTTCATTTGGTTTTTCTTGGCTTATTGGGGAAAGGAGTGGATAATTTTTATATTTTAAGATGAAAAGAGACATTAATTCAATGAAATGAAACAAGAATTTTAATAATTATTTTTTTACATCAATGAAATGATCATTCTTATTTTAGTTGGTTTTGCATGAAAAAACGGAGGTATTTTATCATGGTTTTTGAAAACGAACCGGTGATCGAACCAGTCAGGGGTCTAGTTATCGGTTCAAATGGTTCGGCCGTTCGACCTGAACGACCGACCCGTTCTAACAAAAAAAATTGAAAAAATGATCAAAATTGTTTAAATAGTTCGAACGGTTAACCGGCCGGTTCAACGATTTGCTGACCAAAATCAATGATTTTGAGGGAAAATGGAGTCGATCACCGTTTCCCAATTTTTCCGGTCCGGTCCGGTTTTGAAAACCATATATTTTATGGTCAATTAGGATTTAAAAGAAAAGGACAAGGAAAAGAAAATAAACTGAGTTCAAGTGAGTATTTTTATTAATTTAATGCTGACTTCACTGCTAAGGTTGTGTTTGTTTTCGGTCTAAACTATCATCAATGTAAAAAGTACATCGATGGAGTTTGATGTAAAACTTACACTCCAACCAAACACATAAAAATAGAGACTGGGAGTGCTAGAGTGGAGTTTTATACTAATCCGTATTTACCAAAAACAAACACTAACGAATATAAACCGGTGGTAGAGTTTTACATTAACTCAGTAGGTGTTTGGTATTGGTACTAGGAACACCATACCGTTTTCTCATAAAAGTAGTGTTGAGCATGTGTGAGAAAACAATGCTTATTTTTTGTTTGGAAGCGGTGTTGCCACATAGGCTGTCTTCTGGGAAAACAATACTGGTTTTTTTGGTACCAATACTGTAGGACTGTTTTCAATATTGGTCATATTATCCAACGTCCAAGATGATGCCACATCATTACACTACTGATATCAACGACCTGTTTTATGAGAAAACACCAAATTTTGGCCTTGCTTTTCATATCACACTTTTTCCAATATCCAATGCATGGTCTAAAACAATGTTTTTTATGGAAAAATGGTACCAAATAAGAGGCTATTTTTTGAATTTTCTGATGTGGCGCCTACATGTCCACTGTTTTGTAAGAAAACGACATCGATGCCAAACGGTACAAACGGTTAACTGGCTGGTTCAGCGGTTTACTGACCAAAATAAACGGTTTTGAAAAAAAGCGGGTTTCCGATCCGACCGTTCGGTCCGGTCCGGTTTTGAAAACAGTGGTTGAAAATGTATAACCAGGTGCAGGAGATCCGGACTCGCGAAACTGGGGTTTAAGGGTTTTGGATAATCTGACATCTGATCATCTACATTAGATTAGGGTTTTAATTTTTTTAGGGTTTATGCCTCTGCGTTTCCAAAATCCAGCCATGGAGGTCGCAAACCAGACGGATAACTCTACCCTGAAGAAGAACAAAAAGAGAAAACAATCGTTAGAAAGCCAGTTTCGGTTCCAGCTCGACACTTGTTCGAAGAATAAGGACCTCTCTGGTGCTCTTTCACTGTACCAGAAAGCAATCTCGGAGAATTTCCATCTCAATGCGTACCATTTCAACACGCTCCTTTACCTTTGCTCGAATTGTCTCAGCGATCCGTCGTCTTCGTTGGAACCAATGCCAGATTCATCAGAAGCCTCTGCGTTGGAATACGGGTTTCGGATCTTTGATCACATGCTGGCCAGCAATATCAATCCAACAGAAGCAACGATTACGGCTGTGGCGAGGCTCGCTGCTGCTAGAGGGGACTATGATTACGCTTTCGAGTTGGTGAAGACAATGGAAAAATACAAAATTTCTCCAAGGCTGAGGTCGTATGATCCTGCATTGTTTGCTTACTGTCAACGGTCAGACGCCGAGAAGGCGTATTCGGTAGAGGAACATATGATTTCAATGGGAATAAATCCAGAACAACCGGAATTGGCTGCACTATTGAAGGTGAGCGTTGAAGCTGGTAAGGAAGAGAAGGTTTATTCTTATTTGCATAAATTGAGAAGCTGTGTGAGATTCGTTAATGCATCGACTGCGGAGATAATAAAGCGATGGTTTTCTAGTACATTGGCTTCTGAGGTTGGTGCTGTGAATTGGGATGTGGGTCGCGTTAAAGAGGTGACGTCAAAGAACGGTGGAGGTTGGCATGGACAGGGATGGTTGGGTAAGGGGAATTGGGTTGTCTGTAGATCAAATATTGGCTCAGAGGGATGTTGTCGCTCTTGTAGCGGGCAACTGGCTTGTGTAGATATTGATCAGTCGGAGACTGAGAAGTTTGCAGAATCAGTAGCTTCATTAGCAATGGAAAGGGAAACAAAGTCAAACTTCAGAGGTTTTCAGGTGCACTTTCTTTCTTAATTGGCTGTTTTCTTTATCCTTAACGTCTTTGTTTCTTTTAAACAACTTAACTTTATTTGACAGTAGAAACATCAGAAATTGGGTACAAGAACAAACATACTCGATGGTCTTTCTTTCTCTATAATTGTAGGGATTTATTATTAGGACATATTGAAGTTTCCATGTTTTCATTAGCTGCATCTCTGACGTATTCATTTTAATAAGAGTTTGGAAAAAGTTCTATGCTGGCTCCCAGCTTGATGAATCTTTTTCCTGGTTTCTGATGACGGTGCTCACTGTCAGCTATCTACGTGTAGTGCTCACTGTAAGCTGATATGTCCCTTTTAGTTTTGGCAAAAGTTCTATGCCAGCTTCTAGCCTGATGAGTGATGACACTTTATCCTAGCTTGATATGGCAGTGTTCAATATAAGCCATCTACACGTTTCAAGAATTATTGATCCAAAATAGTTCAAAAGCAGTTTGTCAAACTTTGTCTTAATAAAGTAACTCTAGATGACTGACTAATGCAATTATTTTGATCCTTTTGTCTGTTAAACACTTAAACTTAAAAGTATTTCTTGCAACTGCAACTCTTAACTGAGTTCTCTAAATTTTTAAATAAATATGCTGACTTTGGTAAGGTTCTGAGATTCTCTGACTCTCAGTCCATAAGTGGAACTCGCTTTATGAGAATACTTAATATGTACTAATCTTAAGGTGATTTGTCTAGGCATGTATAGTGCTTGCTTAGACTGTTATAGAAAGAAATTTGAAACATGTATTCATGTGTGCCATTAGCTGACCCCATATAGTTGGGATAATGCGTGGATGATGATGATGATTCGTGTGTGTCATATTATTGAATTAGGGTGAAGGAACAATGAATATGCCAGTACCTTTGAGGTTCAAAAACATGACAGCAATGTGAAAATTTAACAATCAGAATGTCATTCTCGCTAAGTATGGACTAAATGACTAATGCTGTTGCAGTTGTTGTTTCCTTAGGAGTGGCTTGAGAAACATGCTACATATGAAGCTATAGTGGATGGAGCAAATGTTGGACTTTATCAACAAAACTTTGCAGATGGTGGATTTAGCCTTCCTCAGGTTGTACATCCCAAGTTGGTGGTTTGTCTTCTCTATTTGTTTATTTGATTTTGGCTAATCAAAGTGTAAAATGATAAATTTGAACAACTTATGTTGATATTATCAAAATTGCAATGGAGCAGCTTGATGCTGTTGTGAAAGACTTGTATGAAAGAAGCCAACAGAAATGGCCACTTGTTATCCTACACAACAAACGTTATCGGGTCCTTGCAGAAAATCCATTGAATAAGAAGCTGCTTGATGAGTGGAAAGCTCATGATGCATTGTACACAACGCCACATGGTTCTAATGACGATTGGTAAGGATCTCTGCACTATACTTGAAGCTGCCATTTTGACTTTTGAGCTACATAAATCCATTTACTTCATCAATGCTTCTGAAAGTTCAAAATATTTGAATGACATACCTCTGGCACTGATATCCCATTAACCTAATTGTGTTGTTTGGACATCCTTATCAAGCGTACAGGAACTCATTGTATTCATAACCTGAATGCAATATCTTTTGCATTTTACATGTTGAACAATATTTTTGCTGTTCCTATTGAATTTTGAAGTATGATTAATTCTGTCTGTGATTCAGGTATTGGCTCTATGCAGCTGTAAAACTCAAATGTTTGCTTGTGACAAATGATGAAATGCGAGATCATATTTTTGAACTTTTAGGAAGCAACTTCTTTCTCAAGTGGAAAGAGCGACATCAAGTATGCATCACATAAAAAATATTCATCTTTGACTCAATTGCTGCTTTTTCATTAGTTCAGTTATCTGTGTCTATCATTCTCCCCTCTCAGCTACATTTTTTACTAGTATTTCTCTTTTCATCATCACAACCTATCGTAGTGGTTATGGTTAAAAGACATGCTGAATAGTCGGTTTGCATAAATGACGAGAGATTTAATGAATTGTTCTCAATTTGGATTTTCTTCATTTTCTGTTTATCTTATATTCATCTGATGAGGCTTCTTCAGCCTTCATTTATTTACAATACCAATAAGCTTCCCTTTTCAACATTTTGCTTACTGAAAATCTTGGCTCTATCCATTATGCAGGTTCGATATACATTTGTGAAATGTAATCCAAGACTTCAAATGCCACCTTCTTACTCTTTAGTCATGCAGGTGATTTTTTAATCTAGTTCCTCCTGTTTTATTTACCGAAGTTAATTCTGATAATATATCAGTTCTCTTTAGCTACTTCAATTGAATGCAACATGGTTATATTGGTTTCTTGAATCCTTACCAACACTGTGGTCCTTAGAACTAATGGAGAGGTTTACTCTAAAATGAGAATTGTTACCTTTCTGATTTCCAACTTAGACAAGCAGCACACAAGGTTGCTGGTAAAAAAAAAGTAGCATGCAAGGTTTCTTCTTTGTAACCTACTATGGTGGTGTTCGGTAGAGTGTTGAAAACAATCTTTTGTGTGGTTGAGAACACTGGGTCCCACAGTTCTTTTGGCTCAGTTTCTATCTCAATTGGTCCAAATATACGGAAGTGCAAATGATCAAACTGCAAGTTCTGGTTTACTTTTCTTTCATGCTTTACTTTCTTTTGTTTGTTTGGGAGGAGTAAAATGATGTGGGCCCCCACTTTGTATGAGAGAAAATGAAGGTAGAAGGGTCTCCATTTTATTTGCACTGCCAATGAGTGTAAATAAGTATATATTTTGCATCAGTTAGGGGTGTAAATAACTAGCTGCGAATTTTGCATCTGGTTTGGATCTGCATTGCAAACAAATGGAGCGTTAAGTTAAAACTAGTGTTTTTTTTATCAATAATTCAGAAAGTGATTTCATTAAACTAATTAAGGCAGTACAACCAGAAGTTGTGAAGGATACAAAAAGACACCGAGTGTCCAAAATGCCCCAAATATTACGGATAAGCCCAAAACATTGACTGTCTTTGTACCCCTTGTTTAGCTAAACTATCTGCCAAACTGTTGGCCGATCTTCTAATCCAATTAACTTGAACCAATATATCCCTAGAGAGCCTTTTGAACCTCCTAAGGTCATTCCTTAGGTGCCAAGAAACTCCTTCCCCTTTCCTTAACCAGTCCACAACTGTTTTGGAATCACCTTCAATAATTAGACTTTCAAGGTCCATTTCCTTGGCTTTCTCAAGCCCAAAGACAGCAACTAAGAATTCTGTTGATGCCACATCGCTTTGCTCAGCTGGACCCGAGAAGAAGGCATTATCTATTACCTTCCTCATCCCTGATAACTCCTCTAATTCCAACGGAGCCTGGAGTGCCCACATCCCATCGAAATTCAGTTTCAACCAAACTACAAGGAAGGGGAGACCATACCACTGTTACAATCTGTCTTCTAGAAGATGAGGCAGCTATAGCCCCCAAGCTCTGAAGAAATCATCAATCTTAAAATCTGAGAACAAGTTCAAGGTCTTAACCCAATGAGCCACTCATAGGGTTATGACCTCAACCAATGCTTCCTTGGTTCTCTCATTTTCCCTAAAAATTCTAGAGTTTCTTTCTTCCCAGACTGTCCAAATAACTGTTGTCCTCGTGCATTGTCACATCAGTCTACCTCTTTTAGTAGAACAGATACAAACAGAAGGGTTAAGCAGCCCTCCCAAGCTATCAAGAGAGAGCCACCTGCAACCAAAAAGTGAAGCAAACCACTCCCAGATAAAGCCAACAAAAGGACAGAAGGTTAGAAGTTTAACTGCACTCTCACCATTAACCTTGCACAAGCTGTACCAGTTGGGGGACAAGCACCAGTTTGGCCTTTTTCTTTGAAGCTTATCACAAGTATTAATGCAACCATGAAACACTTCCCAACAGAAGGCACTAATTCTAGGGGGGATGGGCTGACACCAAATTTCTGTAACAGGGAAAGAAAGAGAAAGGGAAGGTGAGGAAACTACAAGGGAATTAAAAAAGGATTTATAGGTGAAAGTCCTAGCTGAATTAAGGGTCTAGACCCTGTTGTCCATGCTCCCATCCCCAAGAACCACATGATTCAGCAAAGAGAGCAAAGTAGAAACAAGGGAAATTTCAGACTCTCTTAAGGTTCCTAATGAAACCCAAGTTCTAGTTTAGTTCAAAAGGAGAGGAAGAGGAACAAAGGAAACCAGCTACCTGTCTGCCTTTAAAATTGGAAATAGCATAAAGAGAAGGGAAGACCTTCATTAAAGAGAGAGTGGTTAGAAAAAAGGTTTGATATGGAGGAGGTAAAGGAAGCAGTATTCTCTATGGATAGGACAAAAGCTCCGGGTCCAGATGGGTTTACAATGGCCTTCTACCAGGATTGTTGGGATATTTTGGAGAATGATCTTAGATCAGTTTTGAGGAGTTCCATAGGAGGGGTGTAATAAACCCAGGCTTGAACTCAACTTTCATTGCYTTAGTCCCAAAGAAGAAAGATGCTTCTCAACCAAAGGATTTTAGACYTATTAGTCTGGTGACTAGCTTGTACAAAATCATTGCAAAGGTGCTGTCTCTCAGGATAAAGAAGGTGCTCCCCTCTATTATTGCACCCAACCAAGGTGCTTTTGTAGAGGG